TGCACGACCGTCAACGGCCGCGAGCGGTTGGTTCAACTTCGGGTTTTTTGACCGCCACGGGTTTGGTTATCCGCCGATAACTTTCCGAAGGAGGAAGCAACAGCAATAGCAAGGCCACTCGGCGGGAGGTAGCTCTCTGCTCCATCTTTCATGCCCAAGTTTTGGTGCCGTGGGGTTTCGTGCGCGTCGGGAAAAAAGTACTGATTGACAAAAAAATACCCACGTCAGAAAGCCGTTGGTTCAAGTTGGCGGGGATTGTGTGCTCATGGTTTCGTTTTCCACCGACAACTTTTCGAAGGAGGAGACAACAGCAACAGCAATGCCACCCCGAGGGAGCTAGCCATACCCATCATCTTTCTGGTACGAGGATAGATGCCTTGGGGTATCGTGAGTGTTGATAGAAAAGGCTTTGCAACTACCCTCTCCCCGCGCTCTGACCGGTTTCAACGCGGTGTGACGCGAAAGGCGTGTGCCTGCTTCTCGTCGTTGCAAAAGCAACAAAAAAACACGCCCGCGCATTCCGCCAGTCTGCACAAAACTTTCTTCACCACATAACGAGCGTGCACCAAAAGTCCCATTGACACAAGTTCCCGGCCAAAAGTTGCTCTCAAACTTTAACTTTTCTCGCAACTTCCTGCGAAAAAGAGATATAAATCATTTGCCCACCTTCATCCACCTCGTGAAGTCTACTACGTCGTTCGGACTTTCGGCTGTGGGCAGCACCTTCCACGCCACCATAGCGCCTGCTGGGGTGAAGACGCACACCATACCCGCGGTCGCTACCCCCCCTCGACCGCCAAGGAACAGCGCGCGAAACTTTGCGATGTAGTCCTCTTTCCTCGATAGCCTAGACCACAGATAGATATATTAGAGCATCAACAAGGCGAAACAGGTTGACCGGAAAATCAGAAGCCTTCCCAGAAAACAGCGAGGTGAGACGTATGTACGTTTTCCACTCATGTCGACCGCGAATTTAGTTCCAGACGAGAGGAAACATGTGTTGGGAAAAGCAACAATTGGGTAAGTGGTTAGCACGCCCCGGAAAGAGGCTGACTGGGGTTCGTACAACATGAAAACTAGGGGTAACCTGGTCCCTCCGACTCTACGGCATCAACCTAGCAGCAGTGGGGAGTATGGGCCCGCCTCGCGTGGGGACACCAGCCGCACCCGTTCGCGCTGAAGGTGCCGAAGACGACCTCGTGCAGTTTCTTGAGGTCCTCGGCCGGCATCTCGTCGACCAGGCTGATACCCCAAGAGGTCTACACGGGTGCGTGGCACTAACGTGTGCACCGATTTCGGGGCCACCGCGCGATCCGTCTTGGTCCTCCTCTCGGCACGCCGGTTGTCGGGTGACACCCAGGCAGGAGTTCTGCCGACGTCCTCCAGGCCCCCCAAGACGAACTGAACGCGCTCGGTGAAAAACACCGGCGACACCAAACCCAACTTGAGGCACAACATCGACATGTCGAACTCGAGAGTAGTTTCGGGTCTCGACTTGCTCGCTAACGCTTTGGTCATCGTGTTTACCGACATCCTCACGCAAGCGTTCACGGTAAACACCTCCGAGTGCAAGCCCCACTGACAGCACCGAAAATCAAACGAAACGTCGATGACGGCCAAAAAGCCGAAGAATACGTTCGTCAGCTTAACGAAGAACCTGGAGTCTTTATCATTGATACTGCGTTTGGCAAGACACACGCAACAGCGGAGCGGAGGGTGGCAAATGCCGTTTCAACAATGCTAGTTCAACGTGGTATCGCCACCTCGCCTTCAGACGACTCATCCTCCATCATACTGAAAGTCAACACAGAATTTGTCTCAATGGCACGATATGCAGCAGGCCATGAAGGGGTTCTTTTATCGCGGACTTTCTTCGGGCGGCCGTACGGTTGAACACTCCAATACCAGGAATCCTTCCTACATGAGAGACGTCTGCACCCCACTACAGCTGTAGCGGTTCGCTGTGAATACGCACTAGCGATTACGCTGGAACCTTTACCACACCAAGGTAGAAATGTGACTTTCACCGTCTACTGTTTCCGTTTGTACCATCTGTTGCAAAACGGGTAGGAGTTCAGACCCCCACCCCACCCCCGCCCAGTGCACCTCCCTGCCTCGACCATGGGGAGGTCAGAGGAGGAGTCCTGCGTCCGTTTCCTATGGGTCCGAGAAATAGCCCAACGCCATGTAATTGAAACGTAACAAAAACCGCATGTCCCAAGGCGACTTTGCAAACCCCGCAAGCCCCCACTTGACTATCAGTTGTCGAACACGCCTATCGCATGCACAGGGCACTCTTAATAATCCCACACAGCATCATACCTCGCAGCGACATCCGGGTTCTCCGACACCCAACCGATGTTTGTCGTCAGAGGCTCCAAGTGCGAGAAGAAAAAGGACGGCATCGTTGTCCCTCTGATGAACTGCCCGAGGCACTTGTACAAAGAGCTCCACCAGAAAGTAGTTGTCGTAGTTGAACACGGACGTCTTCCTCAGTTGTCGCTTGCCCACGCGCACGCCCCACATGCGCCGCATTTCCGGCGCTCTATCTGCACGCTCACAATTAGCGGCGCCTGCGATGCATCACGTGGTCCGTCGACAGGGCAAAGGGTGACGTCGTACCGGGAGGAATTACATTGGGCAAACGACAGGGTATACCCTGGTCGAACCGCGACACACACGGTCAACGTTTCTTTTTGGCGCATGGGCGTGGTGTTCTGTGGACTGTAAAAGGTGCGAGCAAAAAGGGTGCGAGCGCGCGCACGCTGCGGCGCAGCCGCGGCCTAGCCTTACCCCTGCCCTCCAATGTAACACGTCTCCAACGCCCTGTCATCTAGGGCATTCCCTAGGCTCCCCCAATGGGTGGTCGGTCATGGTTTGGGGTTAGGGTTAGGGTGTTTAGGAAAAATACAGTAAGACTTGAGCCAAAGCTTTCGTAGGAAGAGTTTTGGACGATTTTGTATTTCCTGCGGTTTCCCCCTGATCAGGGTACAGGGCCCGAAAATCAGGGTACAATCTGCAAGCCAGATGACAGCAAGTGCACAGGAGATCAAATATGTTGCCCAGAGACTTTGGCTTGCGGAAAGCCTATTTAGCAAGATCGACCCCACTGCCTGCGGTAAGTCATTCTCCCCCTTGAAAAAAGTGATTACCTCCGATACACCAACCCCCAAGTTGTGCGTGGCCGATGACTGAAAGCTGTCGCGCAGCTGTTGTTTGCTGATTTTCCCCGGCACCTGCGAACCGCCCATTCATTCGCTTCAGACAACAACATATCGGCGCTGGCGGGATTAAGCCACCACGCGTGGATCATCGACGGTGGGGATGCTAACAATGTGGAAAGGCGGCCCATGGGTGGTACACAGTAGTAGTCTACCGCCAGAGGGTGTTTAGGCCATACCACCCTCTGGAAAAAGGCAACAACGCGCCGGACATTTGCTGCTGCTGCCGCCACATGTGTTCCCATGCCCTCCGACTTTCGGCTGTTATCTGCATGGATATGCCGGTGTGAAGATAAATCGGGCCTGATCTCTTGTTACCTGCGGTCAGCCATTCTTCTGACCCTCGGATGAACACTTCCCTATGTTCTTTCAGGTGATCCCCACATGACAAGCTTTTTGGGGCAGATGTTTGACTTCACTGGGGAGGATGGAGCGTGGAACGCCTTGATTGCGGATGTCAACATGAACGTCAACATGCGCATGACGTCCCCCGTCGCCGATCTACCTGAGATCACCTACATCACCGGTACGCGCCCGTGTACACAGTATGCGCAGTCATCCTGCTCATGTACATGACACTTTGTGAACCCAATGATATCAAACTTGAGGGATAGATGTCGAGGGCTGTCATTCATCTCCTGGAAGACGAACATCGTCCGTGGCGCTTCAGCGGGCCAGCTCGTTGACAGCCTCGTGCACAAACAGTTTGTAATAGCAGGTTTTTCGTTTATCCGCCCTGGGCCGTGCAGGACATTCCTGCTCTGTGACAACGGGTCCCCCCCGTTCTTTTTTTTTTTTCTCTTCGTGTGTTTGCCTGTCCAAACAGGTCTGTCTGTCGTCACCACCGATGCAGACGGCTTTGACCACCGCATCGTCATTGAAGTTAAAGACCCCCACAGCTTGGACAGCTCTTGCTCGGCCAAAGTGTCACCTTGCCTGGCCGATGGCTCGCTGAGGGTGGTCCTTGACGGCAAAGAGGCCCTGCTCGCCCCTGGCACGGTTTCCCTGGGTCCAGACGTGGAACTCTCGGCAGCCAACCTACCCGTCGCCTGCCACTCGTTTGGCTTTGAAGAGGTGAGGCAAACACGAGACTATCAGCACCTTCTCCGGCCCGTCCCCGACGTAGCTCGCATATTTCCCCCAAGGTTGCTTTTGATCTTCCACGCTTGGTGGTTGATTTCCGTTCCGGCAGGCAGTGGGGCTGTATTCTGCTCGAGGTACACCAGCACGGTAGGAAGGAATGTTGTTGGTGCTATTGGTGCTATTTTCAATGATAGCGCTCTTTGGAAGTCGATGCGGTAGTCTGCATTATTGGTCATATTCGGCGAGACACAAGGATGGTACAAACACAAACTGATGCTCGGCGTCAGCATGACCTTCACAGTACCCGGTACCCCTGCCGAGTTTCTACTGTACATTCACCAACGACGCCTCCGTCAAGCGATGACATCCTCAAACTATCCCGCTTCTCTTCCTCTGCCATGTTTTCGCCGGTATCACATTCGGGCCGCACGCTCTAGGGGCCCATCCTTCACCCCACAGTAGAATAACATATTTTTCAAGGCGCGTTTTCCTTGCCGCCCGCACGAGCCCGTTGCGTGGGCCATGTATTGATTCCATTTACATAGTTATGACTACTGTGCCCTACCCCGAACACATCTGCTATTGTCATTGCTGCGCAGTACTGGGAACGAAAAAAGCTCGAGATCGCCCGCCACGGTCGACCCCTCAACGAGCGAATGAGTATGGGGGAATGGATCCTCGGGGTGACGCGGGAGGATGTTCTACATGCGGGCATTCGGATATCTGTTTGCAGAAGCGCGGAACGTGGGTCTGCAAGGGTCTGATTTCGTGAGCAACAAGGCTCAAAATGTGTGTAGGGGTGGCAACCCCGGGCTCTCGAGGCTACATTAACTTGGTGGTAACATTTTGTTCCGGCGGCCGGCCGAATTGTTTGCGGTGAATCTTCCCGGTGAAGTCTCACCAACATAACTTCACCAGCAGCATAATTCACTGGCGTGGTACGATCTATGTACGACATCTTCTGTTGACATCCACGATTTTTCAGTTTTCTCTCAGAAAATGCTTGCCTTTCTCCGATTGCATGTGCAGCATCGCACTGACTCAAGCGCCCGAGATATTTTTTCGTTGTCTTGCCAAACATGAAAACTGTAGTAGCCTTCGCGTCATCCACGGCAGTCGTTCAGATTGTGGTACCTCTTTCCTCTCTTCGGGCGTCGACACCTTTTTCCTTTAAGGATCCCACCGCCACCAACATGGCCGAGTGCGTGGAGTGCGTGGCGCGCGCCGAGGTTGAGGACGGCGGGCTGTTCGGCCACCACTCCGAGCAGGCGTCGTTCCAGATCGTGACTCCCAAGGCTACCGTCCGTCTGAGCCACGGCAGGCTCCACCAGATCGCCATGCGGGACGCTACGGACCAGTTCGATCTCCCGGATCACTTGACCTGGCAGATGAACATGGCTGTCCACCACAACGAGGTGAGCCTCTCATCCTGAACGATCGGTGTGCGTTGTGCCTTTGAGATCCCAGCAGCGGTGACATGGACGTACTTTGTTTCTGACGTACACCTATTATCCAGGAGAGAGCTCAACCTCCCCGCCTGCGTGGCTGTTGTTTTTCCGGAACGAGGTGGGCATTGTTTTTCCCTCGAACGCGAATCCTCAACGGCTAGACGACAATACGGCATCAGGCAAACGCGCTGCCCCGTGTCCGGTTATCAAATATTCAAACCCAAAATGTCGTCCCAACAGCGCTTTTGATATGACGTTTCAACGTGATGAAGTTTCAACGTGGAAAATGATGGTGAACGTACGCCGGCAGGGGAATCACGGAATGATGACCCACCCCATCCCCATCCACTGTGGGCTCTGTCCTCCGAAGGTTGTTGGTTCGTTGAAAGCAATAGTATAACGATTTAACCGGGGGGAATTTCAAATGTGACATTCGTGTCGCTTTGATTGGGGTGAGGAGCTCGAAGATGTGTCCAGGTATCCCACAATGTTGCATGTGGTGTGGCTTCCGCAAAACGAAAGGAGTTCCTTTCGCAGTTGAATCCATGGCCCCAACTTCGATATACGTACTCAGTGTGTGATCTTAAAACCGTTAAACAGGCGAGCCGCGATGCCAAGGGCGTGCTCGGGGAAGCATTCGAACCCACTCGTGACGCCGACGGCACTATGATCATGACCGGCATGGAGGCGATCCGTGGAAAGCAGGAAGACTGTAAGTTTTGCAGAGGAGATGTCGACGACAAAACGTAGTACTTGCACTCGGGCGGTGTCCTCAAACTTGTCGGGGAATATTCTACTTACAACACTGCTGGCAAGCTTGTTTGGAGTTGTGACGAACAATCGCCAGTTTTCATTGTGCGACGTTGTGTCCACCATCTCTCGTCACTATGCGAGTACACGTGGAAATCGATAGGCTTGCGCCAGTGTTGGATTGCTGACGAACACGGAGATATTCTGATTGATCGATAGCCTATGTAGTTGTCTCGCAACTCCTCGAGTTGATTTCGTCTCACTTGGCTTTTCTCAACCCTGCTTACGCCTCCCCCTTTGCTGTCAGACCGCGTGGAGGGACCGCTGGGGATGGACTTCTTCCAAGACACCCACACGTCCTAGGCGATGACCGTTCAATAGTATTTTGGGAGTTGTGGCAAGGGTGATTCCGAAGCAAATCGCCCACAAGCATTTTGTTGCTGCAGTAGTTCGGAGAAAAAGACAGGCTTCGTTGCCGCCCGGGAGTCGGGGCATTGCAAGTTTGCGAGCTGGCACGCACAATACCACGTCGTCACACTACAATAGCTATCGATTTCGGGCGTAATGCGTATCAGTATGAACCGTAGGCACCAAGCAACGCGATATTTTGTGCAGGACGCGAAACGTAGTATTGCGTCGGGGTTTTTGATGGTTAAGCAACGGAGGCATCCAGAGGCTGTCCCATCTTTGTGTTTTGGGAAGGTTTTCGTAGGCAGGACATGGGGAGAGACGCCATGGTTGAGGATGCATCGCCCCCTCCGTAGGGATGGAAACAACGGGCATTGAATGGTGGGCTTGCGCGGAGGATTACGGGTTCGTGTCGCTTGGCGTGTTGATTGGCACGGCATGCGTTCAGCGACGTTTGCTGCTTGATGCACCATGATTCTCGAAGCAGCACCGGCAGAGCTGTGGATACTTTGCGTCTGATGTTCGGAAGATTGGTAGACATGCAGTGCAGTCGTATGGATGACTCTCACACATCACTACAGTTGTCGAGATTTGAGAATTGGTTGTTGCGACAAAACGCTCGAGCGTTGATTTTGTACTACCATGTAGTCTAGGGTAGCTGGATCGGCACATGAGTGTTTCTCGTGGAGACGTTTCTTCATGTTATTAACAGCATTTTGTTTGCTTCATCCTTGGTGGACGTGTTTGGCATAATACAGAACACTACAGTTAAGGCCGAGGCTCAAGCACTTACGAGAGTATTTTTTGATATTTTGTGGTTATTCCGATTTGAAGCGTTTCTTTTGCAGGATATCGCCGCAAGCTCTAAACCCGCCATTACCGCTTGTTGGCCGAGTATTTACCACTTCTGTTTGTTGATTTGATCTTCCCTGTTGTGAAGGAAGGTTGATTTCACGATGTGTATCCTGACTTTAATTATTGGACTTGGCGGCTTGAGTGTATTGGGTTCGTAGATAGATGAAGACTTGGTGTTGATTGTCGGAGCTGACAGTTTCCGTTCGTTCAATGCTGAAGGGAAACACCGGATTGCTGAACTGGCGTATATAGAAAGATGTATTGCATGCGGATACGTCCTCGAGGGGGTTGCAGATGTTTGACCTCCGAAGGTTAGAATCGTGAGGCGTGAACTTGTAGGTACAGTAGATGGTTTCTTCGTGTTTGTGACTTTTTATTTGCTTTCCGTATTTCGTGGTACTATGATATGAGGAGGATAGTTCGTAGATCGCATCTTGCAACAAGTAGGGGGGCTGTTAGTGGTACTTGCTGCAGATAGATCGAGATGCAGATCCAGTGCAGGATCTCTGGGGGCTACGATTAGTGTGTATTTTGGGGGAAAAAGTGTAGGATACTGGTCTGGGAAGTGATGCGGGGGGCATCCAGCTGGACTAGTATTAGCGGTAGAATCTTCTGATAAATGTCACGGGACCCTTTCATCCCCGGGCAGACTTCCAAGAGCTTTTATATACCAAAGGCGCCTCCGACGAGAGTCCGCAGCGACTTACCATCGGCCTCGCAACAGCACCGGAGGCGCCCCCAACAAGAGTCCGCTGAGGGTTAGCAAAGGCCCCGCCCCAGCGTCACAAACATTCTATGCTTCCAACATAGCAGAAGTGCGTACGACGCGTGCATGTTGATTTTAGTATGCTTTGAGCTTTTTTGGCCTAACTTTTGTGTGTGTGTGTGTGTGTGTGTGTGTGTTGCCCGTTTGCCAATCCAATACGACATTCAGCGCGTGAAATTTTACGAGTGTTGGAGAGATTTTGCCACTACGCAGCAATATGGCGCACCCTTTTGCCACGCTTGTTCAACAGATGACTACGGGTTAGGGCGTTTAAGCTCCAGAATGATGACCAATGTGGTGCCGCGCTGAATGATTCGTTTTCGCTCAGCGCGGCATTGCACCCAGAAAAGATCCAACCGTGGAGATACTACGGTGGAGAATACAAATGTTGGGCGGGTGGGATGGTCGTGATTGTTTCGTTTCTCTCTTCACCTTTTCGACGCTTTTTGGGGGGAAACAGGGAATGATCAATGAGTGGGTTTGTTCATTTGTCAGTAGTTTGGTGGGCCTGCAGCTGGGGTGGATCCGTGTTGAGTCCGTTCCCTTCTGAGCTCTTCCCGTATGGTATTGCTGTTGCATGTTCGCCTCCGTTATCCAATGTATTGGATTTGTGATTCCGCCGTCACAAGGACCTGTACCCAAACCTCGTTCCGAATCCTCCGCCATCGTCTATCGACCAGACGTCATACCTCGAGCCTAAACATGTCGTGCCCCAAACTTTCTATTCTGTGCGTTTTCAACCGCCACACGATCCGCCTGGTCGTATACCCTGGTCGTATGCGCTATCTCACTTTCGTCGTTTCCCTTTGACGGCGTTGCTAGTTGTCTGCCCAACGTACTCCCTTGCCACCGACTCCGTTTTTCAGCCACCAATCTATCATCATTTTGTCTACCGCGTCACCTCCCATGGATTATCTAAGCGAACCGAAACGAATACATCGTGAAGTGGGTCGGAAGGTTCTCTAGGCGAAAGTAGCGTTCATAAGCAGTCCGAGGGCGCCATACTTGCATTATGCAAATAGGACGTGCAAACATGAGCGGTCCGCCAATAATCGGAGTACATCTCGAGTCGCACGGCCGAATGATTTTCGTACCCTGGCGTGGGGGGAGGGGAGGACTCCGTCCAGTGGCAGCATGTTTTCTCCCGCGGGAAAAGTGCCACGTTCATGCATCATGTGGTGCCAGGCTAAAATAATGAACCAGGCTGGCTCGAGGACAGCACACACGGAGATCTAACTACATTAGAGTTACACATGATGATCAGATCGCACTGCAGTTGCACATGATGGCCGGATTATAGCGTTGCCGGCCACAATACGGTCCGCCACAGATCCATCGCCGGTCGGCCGCCAAAAGGAAGTGGCTGGGGTGGCACAGACCAGTACACGTTGGCAACGAGCACGCATGATGGCCGCAATACCACGAGGCCGTCGGTGAGGAACACTCCCTTATCTACAATTGTCAGCGCCGGCCCCGAAAGAGTATGTCTGCTTCGATTCTGTTTTGATCTGATAACCCACCTCGAGAGGGGACTTCGCATGGCTCATCGTGAAGAACATTTCGACCTGGCGGTCCTCCCCGGCAATACAAGGGCCGCAGCCACCCCATCAGCACGTGCACTCCCCCACGCCGTAGCCGACGGCCTGAGCAGCTGCGCTAGATGGGCCAAGACAGGTTCCATACCCGTCGGGCCACGTGTCGCCGCGGTTGCTTGAAGGCGGCGGAGACGACGCCGCCGCCCCCCTGGCGCTGGTTACTCCGGTGCCGCCTGGTGCCGCGTCCAAATGTCCGCGTTCGTGGGGAGGAAGACACACCCCACCGATTATTTGAGCAGTCCTGAGGACTGCGTCAACCGCGCCAGAGACTCCGCCACCCCCGACCTCGCCAGAGCATTCCGAAACAGCGGAGACGCGTCCCCCGCCCCACGCGCAATGTCCATGGCCGCGCCCGCTCGGATGTAAGACGGGACCCCCAGCAGCGGAGCGACCTTGGTTACTGACTCAGATGCGAGCATGCCTACCTGAGGAATAGGGACGGCACTCACCGTTTCCCCAGAACAAGTACAACCCTATCTCCGTGGACCTTGGGCTCAGTGCCCGCCAGACCCAACACGACCATGCACGGCAGGTCTGTCAGAGGTGTGGAAGAGGCCACCAAAGTCGCCGTGGCGATACTGGGGTATAAGGGGGTCGCCGACGGTGGTGAGGCTGCCGAATGAGCCGCCGGTGCCGGCGCGGGCAGGGCAGCGGCTGCAGGAGAGGCTACCGGATCCGCCTAATCTCCCACCCTGCCGGTAGTTTCGCTACACCGCCCATGGGACACCCATGGGGCATCCATGGGGCACCCGTGGGCGGCCCATGGGCAAACCCGTGAGATTCTCGTCATGGGTTGTCAATGGGCTGCCCATGTGGGCACGTGCCCATGGTGGGCATCCCACGGGGAACCCATCGTGAGCACTCACGCAACTGCCCCATCATGGGTTTGGGCTGTCCATGAGCACCCATTGGCAGCTGCACGTGGTTCGCAGCCCACGGGCAGAGCGCAGTGCCCCGGGAGGGCACCGCCCTATGGGCTCCCCATGGGCAACACATGGCGGGCTCTCACCTACTGACACAACTGCCGATCATGGGCTGCCCACGGGCAAATGTTCATCGTGGGTTGCCCATGGGCTGTCCATCATGGGCACCCACGTGCATGCCCCGCATGGGCTGCCGGTAGGCCGGCCACGGTAGGTGTTCGTGGGTGGAAGTAGATAGTTAGGTCAGGAAGTAGCCGTTTCTTACTGTAGTACGCAGTTGGGATATTCCTCGTGTTCGTGGGTCTACGGATATTGGGTTCGGATACACCCATCTGTTGTATGGTTCGGATACATCTATCTGTTGTATCGTTGGGTGACACGCGGATTGGTGACACAACTGTTTTGTGGGGGGCACTGCGATGAATCGCGGGGGCCCTCCTCGCTGTTGGAGCTGCTCTGTGGAGCACTCCCTTTTCCGTCCTCGCTGAGGACGGTCGTCTCCCTCTCGAGAAATTAATAAGTCACCGAAACAAGGCTCACTCGATAAAGAGTGGCAAGGCCGGAAAAACTCTTGAGGGTTTGCCTCTGAGGGAAGTCGCATTGGGATGAGCTCTACCGGAGATGACGATCGCACTGCTGCGAGCGGGGAACAGACCCACACGTCCGTGCAGGAGGGTCGCGATGCGGAGCTTGCAAGTTTGCAACTGCAGGTTTCGCGATTGGCGACCCTGGTGGAGGAGTCGGTGAACAAGAAGGAGCCCGGCAATGTCGTGGTGGACGAAGCCCGTAGAAGTGGCTGGGCTGCCCCCCGCGGAGACCAAGA